AGACGGTATACGATCGTGATTTTTTGGTCGGCCAGGTAGCCTGCTGTCCATGACTGGTGGCAAAACTGTTTGTAAGTCATCTGGTATGTCCCACTCAGAAGGATGTGGACATGGGTAGACAATCTCGGCATAAGTCTGTCGATATACTTCTGTAGTGTAACAATCCATAGTGTATGCACTTGAATCATCTTGGTTTAGATGAAGAGCAACTTTTATAACATGACTACACGGATAACCAGATGTTTTCCATTTCTTACAACTACACGTCTTTGCATTTAGATCGACAAGCCCATTTAAGTTATTATCCAATACTTCAAACAAAGTGTTTGAACATGGTTCAACTCTCCAGGACGTTGACTTCACAACATGTTTCGTTATCTTTTTTCAGTCCATGATGTAACGCGACGTTCCAATGTTCCTGTAAATTTAAATAAATAATACTTAGTAAAATATATGATAAGTTACGAATTTAAAGAAATAATACATGCATGGTTTCTTTTCTTGTAGTACCACTGTTGAATAGAGGCTCGAAAAAACTCCATTAACATAGTAATGGGTAATTTCTGAGAATGACAACTTAGAGCGTTGATTGATTATGCACTATTAGATGTCATAAAACCATATCTTGCTCCAAGTTGATGTACTCTTGACTATCTTTCAAACCCGACATCTTCTAGTGTTTGAGCACATTGAGGCAAAACACGTCTTAAATAATATAAATGCTTATTAAAATCCACTTCCCGATAAGCTTTTACAGTCTTCCAGTATGTCCATTTGTAATTTTTTATACCAGCAGACATTGATTTTAGATTTCTATACAAATAAACACCACAAAGTCCATGAAAAACATATGGGAAACAACTTCTAACAGCGTTGTCAATTGAGTTTACCCTATCGGATATAATTGTCAGATTATTAATAGGACCTATGCAATCCCTAAGATGCCCCATAAACCATGTCCATGAATAAGAGGTTTCAGATTTGCCAACCCCGTAAGCTATTGGCAGTATCCCATTGTTAGCATCCATGACTACTGCTAATAAGTTTACTCTAAGGTATCGACCTTTCAAATGTGCTCCATCAACTATAATAACTGGACACATGCAAGTAATAAACGAACGAATCTACAAAATCATATACACAAGAAATATAATCATTTAAATGTGAAATGCATGCAACTAACAAAAATGAGTCAACAAAATTATAATTATTTACTAACCGCAGCACCAATGGTGATAAACATCAACTCAAAGCGTCCATCTCTATCTGTTTTGATATGAGTTACCGACCCAGGATTTTTCAGCTTTAAATTGTGACAATAAGCCGGCAGTTGGGCAAACGATGGTTCTGGCAACCCCCTCAACAATTCCAAGGTATAACATTTGACTCTCCAAGCTTGAGAATACGAGATACTAATCTTGAACCGATCATTCATGTCAGTCATAATTTCATGTCCCCGATATACCCTTCCATTCAAAAACATTAACTCAGCCAGAAAACCATCCAACACATTTTTGTTTGCCTGTCTATGGTGAGGAAAAACTTGGGTTCTTGAACATGTATGTTTATCAATAAAAGTCCTAACTTGAAACATTTCACAATCTTTTATCCTCTTTGCAATCATACGTCACGTACAATTTTTGTCAATCATACAGCTTGTTTCAAAATGATCTTTGCTTGATTTGTTAACTCTTAGTTGATAGCCATTTTCCACATATTTCGTATACAAAGCTATCTTCAAGTCTTCCTTTGTATCAAAACAATCATCTTTCTTGATACGAATAACTTTTGTGTAACAATCAACTGATATCTTTACCAACTCTTCTTCCGGTATCTGAAGTAATTTTGGCATATTCCAGTTATACTCCCGTGGCATTTTCTTCTTTTTTCTTTCTTCGGGGACTTCTTCTTTTTCTTCTTCTTCAGGGTTATATGAATTACATAATGGATGTTCAATATGTTCATTCACAGTCGTAACTTCCTCCTCATTATCATCAACAACATCTTCCTCGACAGCGGCTGTTTCATCATCAAAATTTGGGTATTGACCAATATCAAAATCATTACATGCAGGGTTTGTTTCTTATTTCATCACATCATCAAAATCTGAGTATTAACCAAGATCAAAGTCCGGGTATTGACCAAGATCAAATTTCGAATACTGACTAGTACTCACAATTTTTTATGTTGGCTCATAATCGTCTAACTGGTCAATACGAAAATCAGAATTTGGTGCTGAAAGTTGATTGGGATTTGGATTAGGAAAAGGTTGTGGGTTTTGAGATTGTGTTTGATATTGTATTTGGAATTGTAAATGTGGTGAAACAAAATTTGCTTGGTGATGAAATTGTGGTGGAACCATTAAATTTTGGGTTGAAGAACTTAGTTTATTACTACCCACTACTGACCCAACTTCACTACTTCTAGGTTCAACAACATACAATGTAACATCATCTTCTTGCGAAACACTAATGTAAGCAATGAATCGTTCAACATCTTCATTGCCGGTTAACAAATAAACTTTACCTTTTCTCAGATAAGATAGCCTAAATCCACTTAGAGTCTCTAAATTCAATTTCTTTGCAACACGTAACATTAGAGTTTCATAAGTTAACTTTTTTAATGACAATTTTAGTTGAAGATTCATGGGTAAAGGCACATATTGTAAAACACCAAGAACATTCTCTCATGACCCTCCAAAACACAGATATATCCAAACATGATCAACATTAGATGATTCCATTCTAAAAAATGTAAATTAATTTACTAAACAAACGAGCTATAAACTAGATATCATCACTAACTTAGAGAAAAACATACCTTTATTAAGTTGATAGTTGATAATTTGAGAGAGAAATCATTGAAAAATTATATAGAAATAAAATTATGTAAAAAAAAAATAGAGATGGGGAAGGATGTCGTTGGATTTAAGAACGGATGTCGCCGGAGAGAGTGATAGATGGAGATGGAATGAGTTGCGATTTAGAGATTTAGGTTATGAGTTGCTACTGATGCGTTGTTATATACCCAAAACATTTGAGTTGTGAAACTAAAACCTGTTGCGAAATTAAATTCGCGTTGCGAATTTGAAATTCAGTTGCGAATTTGACTTTTGCGTTGCGAATTTACATATTCGCGTTGCGAAATTGGAAACTGTGTTGCGAATTTGTTGGTCATTTTGACAAATCTAAAAAAGTTAGTTAAATTCGTATATTATAAGGTATTTTTTGTCACTGAAGTTATTTTCTATTAATAATATTTTCTAAATTTAAATGTTGCATGTATAAAAATATATCCAATCATTTATGATTTTCCGGCTTTTGAATTTAAGTCTTGCCATTTTTTCATTTAATCTCTGAAAATAGCATAGTTTGATAAAAACGCCGCACTTCCTTTTGGAGGGGGTGTTGAAAATACCAAAATTTATAAGCCACTTTGAACAAGGAGAAATGGTTGCGTTGTTTAGTTGTTCTCTACTTAAAAAAAAGCTGGCAAATTGACTGGGATTGGTCATGGGGTCTATACGCATAAGGACAATTTGTCTTTTTTGTTGCGGGTCCCCACTTAATAACCATTCGCATTTTGGTCCATCCTCTCTCTTCAACAGCATTAGCATTTGGTATGGATTCGTTGTGCCGATGAAGTTGGAAATTTTGTGGAAGAAAAAAGAGATCAAATTTTAAAGTTTTAATCCAAATGGAATGAGATTAAATGATTAGTTTTTTATGAAGGGTCAATAATGTAATTTTTTAATTCGGTAGATAACTAAAAGGCTTAAATTATATACCAGTATTTATAGTAACGAGGGACTAAAATATAATCTAACCAGTTAATAAGGGGACCAAGGCCATCCCATCCACGATTCATTGACGTGAACAAAGTTAACCCCAATTATTTATTCATTTCTAAAGTATGTCTGCACGTTAATTCATCTGTACTCCAAAACATCGCAAAATATCATATTGACAAAAAAAGAATCTTAATTTTGACTAAAACGTAAAAATAACACACAACATAATATGTTTCCACTGATTGTCAAAATTAATTACAGATGCTTACAATAGAAGAAAATGGGTAAATGACACTCTAAAATTCCTCATGACCTTTATTGTCTGAAATTAATTGCTTTAGACAAGTGTTTGAAGTAAGAGTGTAAGAGAGCCGACCAAAATGGTACATGGAGTGGAAGACACGAAAATTTATTTATTTTTCCTTTTCTTTTTCTTCACATCCCAAGGGAATATTTGATTCACAAGGCAAATGCGCCATTTTCCCTTTATTCCCTTCTGGTTCCCCTGTGTTCTAAAAGCAGTGTGGGTCTCAGACTCTCCAAATATTATTCAAAGGGCAAAGCTACTAATAACATATAATCATCACGTTCATATTTAACTGAGTGACACTAAATAAAAAAACATACGAAATCTATGATCTACCTACTCAGTTTATTGAATTCCACGCCGCCAAATTGGATTAAAGGCCCACTCACATGAGGCCGAATCTATATGTACCAACAAAATTAAACTGCAATTTTGGTTTTGATTCACATCATTAAAGGCCGTTGGACCACCAAGATTGGGTCTCATTTTGCTTCAGCTACCATCAAATCATGGCCCATGAAATGCCATAGTCAATAGAACTAGCCAGTAGCCATTACAATTTACATGTATCAGCATGCCTGTAGGGAGCTAGTCAGAGCACTAAAACACAGAAAAAGTTGGAATTTGAGGAAGCAAACAGTAATACTGGTGAGATCAAAGATCATCAATTTCCCCTCATGAAGGCGGTCTCAGCCGTCTGATCGTTTATTGGCCCCCACACTCTGCCACCAATCACTGAACCACTTTTTGTTCTTTCTTGTCCACTTCACGTGCCCGAACCCCCATTAAATCGACGTCGTTTTAGAATAAGTTTGTCATTGAACTTCGCAGTAACAAAATATACAGAGCATGTTGTGGGGTGAGGTGCGGTGGTTGCTACAAAAGCTCACTCTTCCCACACCACTAACGCACAGTTTTTTCTTTGGTTTCCACGCTCCCCAGTGCTAAAAATTTGACCCTTCTATTTCAATGTAGATGTTGTAGCGTAATACATCTGGGGCACCAAGATTTTGCAGATCTCTTCTTGCATTTCTTGCTTGAACCCTTCACTTCTCTAAGCTGAAAAAAATGTTGAAGATGGGGTTAATGACCATCTGCTTGTTCTTTTTCTGTTTTCTGGGTCTTACTGGTATGTACATGAAGCTTGCAAATCAAACCTTATGAATGTGGGCTCTTTCTGTTGTACATTTTCGTCTTTTGAAAACATTTTGTGTTCCTCTTTTTGCAGGCGCAGGTCAAGAATCTATCGAATACCTTAAGCTTTATGAAACAAGTGCAGAGGTTATTCACGCATTATCTCACGATGATCTTCCTATAGCAGTTCATGTGAATGGCAATGTCCTCAGGGAGGTCTCTAGCAGTGTTTTGAAGGCTGAGAGTTGGCTCAGAGTCCATGTTCTAGCTCACTTTCCAGCTACCAAAATCACTACCATTCTTGTGGGTGAAACCTTTCTCTGTCAGATTGATGAAGAAGAAAGTTTGGGTTTTTATTTGCCATCTATTAAGAACATTTATCACTCTCTTACAAGGTGGGGTCTAGAGAAAGATATCAAAGTTTCAACCGCTTTCTCTTCCAAATGTTTGATGCAAAACTCTGCTCTTTTTAGTGATGGTTTAGCTAAGAATGTCATTAAATCTATGTTGGAGTTCTTCCAAAACACAAACTCCACTTACTCCATAATTGTGCCTCCAAATTTATCTTCCTCTTTAATACTACTATATTCCCACCTGGATTTCATGAAAAAGTTTGGATCTCTTATGCTTACAAAGGTCAATGTGGTAGTCTGCGGTCAAAAGGTGAAATCCTCCATAAGCAGGAAGCTCTCAGCCTTCCCAGCTAGACCAACCCCGTCACCAGAAACCACTGCCAATGTAGCCAAAAAGCCTCATCCTCCACAATTCCCCACCGTTTCACCGCCTCCATTTTCCTTCCCTGTTGATTCTCCACCGCTATTTTCCTTCGCCGTTGCTCCAGAGCTGCCTTCGCCGTTTGTGCCTGCCAGCTCACCTACTGGCTTCCATTTGCCTCCTTGTAATCCAGCCTATGACGACACTGCACCAGCACCGCAGACGGAGATGATGCAACAAAAGCTTTGGTGTGTGGCTAAGCCTAGTGTTCCTTCCGATACTCTACAGGAAGCAATGGACTACGCTTGTGGTGAAGGCGGTGCTGATTGTAAAGAACTTATGACAAACGAGAACTGTTTCTATCCAGACACCATGGTCGCTCATGCTTCTTATGCTTTCAACAGTTACTGGCAGAAGACCAAGAGGGATGGTGGAACTTGCAATTTTGGTGGCACTGCTATGATCATCAATGCTGACCCGAGTAAATTACACTTAACCTATAAAATTAGTTTTCACTTAAATTTAAGCTCTCTTGCCTTGATTTCTTTTGAGAGTTGTTTAATTACAACATGATTTCATGTTCGTTTCAGGTTTTCTTCAATGTCGGTTTGATCTCAGCTGAACAATGGAAAATGTTGGGTTTGTTTCAGCACAAACTGGGATATCTGTGGGGTCTGATTCCAGGGCGAATTTGTCTCTTTCTTTTTGCCTTTTATTCTTAGTGGTTAGCTTAGTACGGAGTAGGACTTAAAGATTCTGTTTCTTTAGTTCTGTGGTATCCTTTGAGAAATTTGCAAGACTTTTTTAATATGATTCCATATGCCCTTTTGCCTTGAAACCGTTTTTCTTTGCTTGATCTCTTTAGTTAAAATCTCATTGCCCTTTTATTTTCGACACTAGCTAAACATAGCTGCCATGTGGTGCCGTACTACTACCGAACCATAAAGTGGCCGGCCCCGGGCCATGTACTGAATGTCATCGACTCGTTGGCAACAACCAACAACATGACTTGGTCAGTCGGGGTGTTGCTCTCTACCTCTATGAGCTACCAATTAGTAGCCGGCCAACTTATTCAAAGCATTAAACATTCATAAATAGATACAACAAAAAACAATTATAACAAGCCTACGTCTTGACTTGGATTTCAGCAAACCTGTCATTTTCATGCATTTCAAGTGTATTGGAATAACTTTAAATTAACCTTTTGTTATAGCAATAAATTTCACTATCTATACTTTGAAGTTCCTATATCGAGATAATGACCATCATGTTAGAAAAACTTTGTGCTTATCACTTATTTGATGAGATAATGCCGGAGAGTAAGAGATAAATAGCCCGATCTTTTAGTTAAGCTAAGTTAATTAATGTAATGGTCAGTGATCGACGTCGAGCAGGCTAGCTAGTCCTTGGCCTACACATTGCACGGTTTCTCGTGGGCTAGCAGCTTCTCCCCCGCTTTTCACTCACCTGTTCATGGACAGGTGGACCACCCAAGAAATTTCGCGATGACTCAACCAACTAGCAAAAGTCGCAGCCGCGGTTACCGATTGATACGCCACACTATCAAAATCAAACCAAAAAGCAAAGTCATCGAGTTCCCACTTCTGCTGTGGCAAACACGATACAAACGCTAGACACACCAATCTCTCATGTTTCCACGGCACTACACATAAAAAGAGAGAAAATTTGGAAATACTTTTACCAACTCACCTATAGAAGGCTCCTGTTCAAATTACTGCTGGAAAAAGAGCAGGAAAGTTGAAGAATAGACCAAGTCCTGGTTTTTGACTTGAAAATAGTGGAGTAATTAAGTCACCATTTGCTTTTATTAATAAAACTATGGTAATTAGTAACCCAATCCACACTTCATTCACCCAATGGACGACGACGTGCTAACATATCTTCAGACTATTTTCTCTCAAGCACTTTCCTTCCATCCTTCTTTTATATTCCTTGTTCCTTCCAATATAAAAATCATTCCTTCTTACTCAAAACCAAGAGAAAAACGTCTCGTCGATGGCTCTTGAAACGTTGAATTCTCCAACTTCAGCACCTCCACTGCTCCATCATGATGACATGGTGGACCTCCACTATGTTGAGCCATGGACTAAGAGGAAAAGAACGAAACGACCCAGAATTGAAAACCCACCTACAGAAGAAGAATACTTAGCTCTTTGCCTTCTCATGCTGGCTCAGGGAACCACCGCCACTACCAGAAACAACCCCTCTGCCGCCGCGAAAATCTCCCTCAATCATTACAAGTGTAAAGTTTGTAACAAAGCATTTCCGACTTATCAAGCTTTAGGTGGACACAAGTCCAGTCACCGGAAACTTGTCATTGGAGCTGACGGACACCCTACCACCACCGCTTCTGCTGAAGATAAATTCTCTGCTTCCGGTTCCGTCATAGCCACGACGACTAGAAATTCAACTCCTCCCATGGTGAACAACCAAGGTGGCAAGACTCACACGTGTACGATCTGTTACAAGACGTTTTCGTCTGGTCAAGCCTTGGGAGGACATAAACGATGCCACTACGATGCTGGCACCGGCAGCAGCAGCAACAATAACAGCGGTAGCGATGGTGTTAAATCATCGAGCCAAAGTCAACGTGACTTTGACTTGAATTTACCTGCTGCCCCCGAGGAAACTAGTATTGAAGATGTTCATCGGAAAAATAAATTTTCCGGCAACGATGAGGAGGTGGAGAGCCCTTCCGCCGACGGCAAACCACTGCGACCACCACGTTTATTGAATGATATTGTAAAAGATCAGATTTGGATTCGGTGAATGATTGGAGTGGACTTTGTTGTTGTTTATTTTATTTTTTCCAATTTAATTTGCATGTTCATCGTTATTTATTCTAAACTCTTTCGGTATTGTTTATCTACTGAGGATTGATTGAATTATAAAAATTTTGTTTGGTTGAATGAAGATTAAATATTATGATATACCTCGACTCGTCCTATGTAACATCCCCAACCCGCATTCAACCCGATTCCGAATTCTATGTGTCACATTGACTTTTCAAAACATTTTCCTTACAAATTAATAAAATTTAAATCCATATTTCAGGAAGATGAATAATTTTCATTAAAACATTTGGTTTTACAAAACCAAATCAGAGCATATACAATACAATTCTCTTAGTATATGCCAACTAAATATAACAAGGTACACATGATTCAAAATTCTTTACTGATTTGAACTTCGTAAAGGAGATGTTGACATGTCTTACTCCACTTAGCTTCTCTTCTCGCTTTCCAGAACCTACGTGTGAAACACTCACACGCTAAGTTGTTGACTTAGTGAGGCATAAAACAAGAATAATATGAACCTTATATACTTAATAATGCATGAACATTTCACAATTCATATAATAATATAACACAAACATCATATACAATTTCATATAACCAATTATATACATTAACACATATAATCATTATTTTAGTCGCTTTATTGACATTATTACTATCATTAATCCATTTAGAGCATATAATTTGATCTTAATCTTTGAAGAACTTTATATTATACTTTTCACAAATGAAACATATAATATCATACAATATTTCTTTATGTTATTTCTTTGTTTAGCCCATGTACACTTTTGAGAACTAAAGATATGTGAGTCTATTGAGGTTGTGCACGTATGCTGTCACCACAGCTCGTATAATTCTCACTAGGGGCACTGAATATTTGTCCCGAAGGACCACTATGTCCCGAAGGACCACTGTAATCCCTCGACTCTTGGCATTGCCAACTATACCAAACTCAAAAAATGCAGATTTGTTATGGAAAAATATGGCAGATTCCATCAGAGAGGTAGGCAAAAACACCCTTGGGTTGTCGACAGGGAAGGTCAAGGAACATAAAGAATCGTGGTGGTGGAACGACGAAGTCCAAACTAAGGTGAAGACAAAGCAAACTTGCTTCAAGGAGTTGTTACAATGCACTGACGACGAAGAAAGATCGAAAGCTAAACAAAGATACAAGGAGGCAAAGCGGGAAGCCAAGAAAATGGTGGCTAAAGCAAAGGATAAGGCATACGAGGAAATGTACAAGAGATTAGACACTAAGGAAGGTCAAAACGGCATCTTCAGGCTTGCAAAATCCAGGGAGAATAGGAAAAAGGATCTAGGTAGCATTAGGTTTATTAAGGACAACAATGGTGTCCTCTTAGTGAAAGATCATGATATTAAGAGGGTTTGGGGTAGTTACTTCTTTGGCTTATTTAATGACGGTGCCTCTCCCTGTAGAGATAGTACGTTGATGGTCAGCCGACCATCATACAACAGTCATTGACTGCCCTACAAGTAAGATTGGGTTTGAGGAAGTCAAAATGGCTCTTAGAAAGATGGGAAGGGACAAAGTTGTCGGTCCAGATCAAATTCCTATCACTGTGTGGTTGGCACTAGGAGAAGAGGGAGTTAAGTGGTTGACCAACATCTTTAATATTATTCTAGAGACTGCCAAGATGCCAGAGGAGTGGAGAGAGTCTACGGTGATACCAATCTATAAGAATAAAGGCGATCCCCAATGTTGTGGGAACTACAGAGGTATTAAACTACTCAGCCATACCATGAAGCTATGGGAAAGGGTGATAGAGGCTAGGTTGAGACAGGTTACTAGGGTTTCAGAAAACCAATTTGGCTTTATGCCAGGCAGGTCTACTACGAAGGCGATTCATCTACTTCGACGGCTTATGGAGAAATATAGGGAAAAAAATAGAGGTCTTCACATGGCGTTCATTGACCTTGAGAAGGCGTATGATAGCGTTCCCCGCGATACGATCTGGAAGACATTGGAAACTAGACGGATCCCAACTGCTTATATCGCGCACGATTCGTGATATGTACTGTAGATCTACTACCTATGTCAGGACTACAGTTGGTGACACCGAGGCATTCCCGTGGAAATCGGACTCCACCAAGGGTCGGCTCTTAGCCCTTACATCTTCGCTTTGATTATGGACGACATCTATTGTGCGACACCAGACGGTGTGCCATGGTGTATGCTTTTCGCTGACGACATTGTCTTAGTGGCTGAAACTAAAACTGAGTTGAATAGTAGATTGTATACTTGGAAAACAGCTTTGGAAGAAAAAGGTCTAAGGATCAATATTGAAAAGACAGAGTATTTATGTTCAAACTTCAGTGGGAACCAAAACGATGAAGATGTAGAAATATGCATAGAAGGACACGTTCTCCCCTCAAAGGATTGTTTCAAGTACATAGGGTCTATGATACGTAAAGATGGGGGTGTAGATGAAGACGTTTCTCACCGTATAAAGGCGGGATGGCTAAAGTGGAGGGCTGCTACTGGAGTTTTGTGTGACAAGAAGGTACCTCTAAAACTTAAGGGAAAATTTTATAGAATGGCAATAAAACCAGCGCTGCTGTATGGATCAGAATGTTGGGCTATCAAGAAAGATCACGTAAGGAAGATGGAGGTCGTAGAAATGAGAATGCTTCGATGGGTATGTGGTAGGACACTGTGGGACATGACACCAAACTCTGCTATTAGGATGTCCTTGGGGGTGGTGCTTGTATCTGAAAAATTGAGGGAGGGAAGACTACGGTGGTTTGGGCATGTCCAAAGACGACAACCATCGGATGCGGTTAGGAGGGTAGAGTCGATTACAGTCGACGGTACCAGAAGGAGAGGTAGACCAAGGCGGAAATGGGAAGACTGCTTGAGATCTGATTTGAAGGATTTAGCCCTTACCGATGACATGACCTCTGATAGGAAATTATACTAAAGACCAGGGTAGCCGAGTAGGGCGAGTCACATCCGTGTATCATCTTTGTCTTCTTTTAATGCCTTTGTAGTAATTTCATTACTTATACTTTTTATACATTTCTGTCATTGGAATTTATGAAGGCCTAGAACTAAGGTAGCGGAGTAGTGTTGCCTTAGTTTAGGTTCTAACCCATTTGACTTTATCCCTTCTCGAAGCCTGCTATCGTTGAATTTTGTGTATACTGCTCAACATGTTTCCTCTTTATAATTTTGGCAGGGTCTTACGTTTCTGTCTATATGCAGATATTTTTATACAGGGATTCATTTGCAGGGATTACTTACCATTACAGACGTGCATATGAGGACTGCATATGAAGATTGTTCAACTACGTATTTTATTTATTTATTTAAGTATGCATTGTATTTTATCTTTATTTTTAATTTTTTGACTGCCGGAGGTCCTCATGGAAGCTGCTCTGAACCTGGCGTTGGGGGACAACCTACTACCCTACTCCCCCTTACCCCATTACATATGGGAATAGGGTTTTGTTGTTGTTGTTGTTGTTGTTACACTTGTATTCATGTATACTCTTTCTATAATCCATATAATAATGTCATATACTCATCTCATCCAATAATTGAACATAATTATATCTTAGTTTCATTTTTATGCCTATATCATATAAAACCTAAGTCTTCCTCATAGAGTTATACTACATATTCACATACTCTCATATTATCCTATAAGTACATACTTATCTTGTCTCACTTTTCCATTTACTCACATAATTATTTATACCATGTCACATGATTTATAATAATATCTTGAATTTATACATATCATATAACCTATACCATAACATATAATTTATATCGCTTATCTCATTTTATTTATGTACTAAGTTAATCTATTTATTTCGTACAGTTCCACACAATTCCTATCATCTTCTCACCAAGCTTTATATTTCTTTACCCTATAACTCCTATTTCCTAGTTTCCGTTAAATATATATATATATTCCCTACATCGCTTATCTTATAGATTCATATCATTATCTATGTTCATGTCCTCTAATTTATAAACTATTCTCATATAGTCTCGTAATTTCATTATCATATAGTTTATAGTTTGTTTTCTTATGTCTTTCCATCGTCATATATTTACATATATCTTATCACATGGCTTGTCTCTTGTAATTATATAGTTACATAACTTATTTTATATTCTCTTATTATCACATAATAGTATTCTACATGAATCATGTAGTACATACAAACCACATCAACAGATATAGGCATGCATACATACAAATCATGTTATTCACACAACTCATGTAATACATATAATCATATATACTTATATCAAACACATGATCATGTTCATGACTTCATGCATACTACTATAGGAAATAGACTCATTGCAAGTCATATAAACACCATATGCCACTGGTATGCACTCACCTGACCTCACTAGTCAATACCGATCTCTTATCTTTCCCTCGATCGATCTTACTTGCCAAATGTTTTGTAACTTGTTTAGGCTTAGTATCTACATAAGTATAATTTCCAAGATGATTATCAGAAGCCTAAACATTATAATTCGATGCTAATAACTTAAGCTAACTTAATGAGAAAAATTCATATTTTCCTTTTAGGAGGGTATCAGTACACTACTGGGGTATCGATACCCAAATTAAATTCGACATTTGCTAGTATTGATACGTGCCTGATGGTATCGGTACCCCTCCTTTAGGTATCGATACCTCATGAAAATGTTCTTCAAAATTGGTCTTAGGGTATCGATAATCATTCATAGGGTATCGGTATCCCTTGCACAGAACATGACATTTCACCCGAAAAATCATCAACACTTCACAACAAATTCCATACTAAAGCCCCTTTCATACCACCAAACTCAACTACAACCATTTTTACTATCCTTTAACTTCTTAACACTTTAAAAACTTGAACATCTCATTCCAATTCTTGAAACTAAGAAATTTACTAAGGGTCTGTTTGTTTGGGGGGAAACCAATTACGAAATTGGTTTTACCTGAAATCTCATGTTTGTTTCACGTAATTCGTTTTTCGGAAAATG